TTTCCTCCTCACAGAATGAACCAGGGCGGCAGAGACGAAAGGGCAAGTACTAGCCACGCACATCCACCCACTAAAGGGCGAGGAGGGCCCAACCAGGTGTCACAGCTCCACTCAGGTGTCACCTAGTGCGGTCTGCACCCCAGCACTCTCCTAATGGTGCCACTGTGCAGTCCAACACCATTTGAAGTTCCTGAGATGCACACTTTGCGCTACTCAGAGGACAGCTGTGTGAACATATTTTTCCTACCAAGTCCTCTCTCTTTCTTTAACATCTGCAGGTGAAGTAACCATTGCTTATCCCATCAATGTGTCTCAATGCCAGAAGCCAAAAGCATGTTTCTTTTTCAATTTCTAGTCTGAAGTTGAATGTTTTAGGTTTAGGAATAAGCAAAACATAATTTTAATCAAAGCATTATACATACTATTCATGCTACAAATACAACAATAAAACATTCTAGTAAAGAAGAAAAGACTACAAATGCTATATAAACTCTGTAAATATTATACACATATTTTAAAAGTAAGTTGGCATGTGGGCATCAAAGGGGTATCTTCTCCAGGGCATTATTTACTCTAGAGTCAACCCTGTGGGCTTCCTATATTCACTTTGTTAGATGCTGTGGAAAACATGGGGATGCAGCTTCTGAAATCTATGTTACAGCAGTGAGTGAGAATTTGAATTTAACAAAATTCTTTATATTGATAATGGAAAGAACTTGAGATCATAGAGTTCAAATGTGAGAGGACGCAAAAACTGACAGATTTGCTTGCCCATATTCAAGGCTTTGTGTGCGTAATTCTTAAAAGTTTGGGGTTCAAGGTTGCTGCCACCTCTTTTTCTCAGAGGGCTCCTCATCTTTAATTCCTGTATGGGGAACAGGTATACCATGATTCTCCCTATGCTGCATGTGGCTGCACAATTCGTAAAATACCCAGTCCAAATAGGAAAGAATGTCAGTCAGTTCATATTGAAGGGTTTACCAAAATTCTTGAAATTTCTCTGTATTCAGGATGAAAAGAACTGGATATTTATATTGTACATCATCTGGCAACTCTGAACATTTTTACTGACATGTTTGTAGTTCCCACCTGATCATAAAACCACCGTAGGGCAAGAGAATGATGCTTTCTGAAGTTTGATAGCTAGTGTTCCTGGATAATATAGAAAGAGTTTTGACTTGATGTTCACCAAGCCTTAGAACTCAGAATGAGTGTTCCTTTCAGACCCATTTGGCTTGGTAACACAATTCATAAAATGTAATTTATCTCCTTTGGGAGAACCCCAGTGTTTTTAATCTTATGTGTGCATAATTTTTAGTCATGCTTTGAAAAGCGTTTTGGGGATGGCTTACCAGGTAAGGGCATGAGATGTCATAGCAGTCTTCAAATTAAATATTATCTTGATAGAGGGACAATCTTTCATAATCCCAACATTGGTTGCTATTTTTATTGACCAGATTCATGCAGATATCCTGCAGATTAAAAAAAAATGCTTTGCACTCAGTAACATGGTCATAATTCTATTACATTTAAAATACAAATCCTAATCTCCAGTAAAGCTGTTTAGATGGGACTGGCACAATAGGATGTTAGAACAACATATAACATCTTCGTTATTTTTTTTAACAGTTCTTTTTGTATCAGTTGAACAGCACCTATTACCCTAAATTGTTTCAAAACTTATGAAATATGAAAAGGAAAGTCTTTCACATTTGGATTTTTAAGGAGGATTGCTGCTCCAAACATTCCTCACTACTGGCTTAGCTGGTTGAAGATGCTGGGAGTTGCAATCCAGCTTCATCTGGAGGGCTGGATGATTCCCAGTCCTCTTCTACACATGTAGGTGAATAGTTACAATTTACTTTTATAGGACAAAAATAAAGTGCTAATGCCATGACTGTCAACAGGAAGATGTATGCATGCATTTGTTTAATATCCTCCCTTTCTCTCAACATGGGACCCAAGGCTGCTTACAACAAAAGTTAAAACAAGATAGAGCTAAAAATCTGATCGTTAAAAAATAAAAATAAAACAGAGTTCATAGATATCCTTAAAACCCCATTCATTTTAAAAATACGAAGTCAGATAAAAAGTAAGATAAAAATGCAACAATCTCTCCTATAAAAAAGGCCCTTCAGCAACCAATCACTAAATGCCTCCTTATATAAAAAGGTCTTTACCTGATGGTACAAGGAGAACAGAACAGGGGCCAGTCTAGCTTCCCATAGGAAGGAACAGCCACTGAAGAGTCTCCTCCTAAGTCCTCACCAAAAGCTTCAGTGCTGTAGTTAGATTCATGTTCCTAGAAAACCCAGCCTGCGTAGACAGGGATTCTGGTCAAGGGTAATAATGTCATAGCCGTCAATCATCCAGATTTGGAAAGGGCAGTCAAGATTAATCTTAGGTTGTCCCACTTTTTCAGCTGCTTTTAAAATGTCCCAGCTTCTGTCCCCTCTTCCCACTTTCCCTTGTTGTTCTCAAGTTACTTCACTTGCTGCAAACTGAATTAAAAGTGCAAAAGGAGTTAACTGGGGGTGGGGAGAGGAGGGAGCAGAGTTATGCCCTTCCCAGTAGGCTCAGGTAAAAGCAAACTGCTGCAGCTTCTGATAGTTTCTGTGTCCTCCTTCATTAATAACTATGTCCATCTCGATCACAGTCCGATGTTGCTTGACCACGTGTCCCGATTTTCATCTACCAAATGCTGGCGGTTATGCAATGTGTCTTCTCATGCAGAGTGAACAAAGACATATTGTGCTTCTGCCCAGCAGGCCATTATACAAAAAAAGGCCACTTGCCACAGAGGTCACACATAAAGAGAACCAGCATGGCGTAGTGGTTTGAGTGTTGGACTATGACTCTGGAGATCAAGGTTTGATTCCTCGCTCAGTCATGAAACCCAATGGGTGATTTGAGCAAGTTACACACTTCAGCCTCAGGGGAAGGTGATGGCAGACCTCCCCTGAACAAATCTTGCCATGAAAACCCCATTATAGGTTCACCTTAGGGTTACCATAAGTCAGAAATGATTTGAAGGCACACAACACAGCACACACACACACACACACATAAAGGCCACTTTTCTTGAATATATATGTATCCCTGATGTATCCATCACCATAGCATGCTCAGTTCTCTGTAGTAGTTGGAGGGAGACAAAGAAAAAAAACCCAGCAACACAGGAATGTAAATTCCAGTTTAATCATAAGTTGGGTTTCATCCTGCAGGCACTGGCTATGTTTCTCTGTGTGAATATTTGCCGGCTTTTTCAGGCCAAAGAAATTTGCACAATGTTGTAATGTTTCTGTGCTTTCCTTTTTCAGCATTCCAAGATTTTTACTTAAGCTTCTCATAAAAAACTATTTTCAGAGGAGGAAGGAAAAAAAAATGTTGCCGTTTAACAAGTCCATAAAGCAGAGTAAAACCATAAAACACAGCAATGACAACAACTGAAAAGCAGGAGATTACATGAGGGAAATAAGATACAGTCAAGATTCAACAGTGGTCAAGCTAACTACATGTTAGTCAAACTCCGGCTATTTTTAAAAGTCGACATCCTACCCGTTCCTCACTCCTAAGCATTGAAAGTGTTAATTAATTAAGGCAAGCTATTTTCATAGCTTACAATGAAAAACATTTGTGGTTAAAAATACCTAGGAGACAGGAAACCATTTAAATTGAAGTTTCTAAATCCATTTTCCCTCTCCCAGTACAGTTGAAATGAAATCCTCACAAGAATATTCACTCACCATCAGTGTTATAGAGAGGAAGGGTTGTGTACGCACGAGCAGTTTTTCACACTATCTGCACATTATTTTGCTTGCACAAGGATGGTGCACCGATTCTGTGAACACTCATTCTTTGCATCCCATTTGCTTGGCCCACTTTTTGCTTTTCCTTCCCAAAACCTTTTGGATGACAGCCTTTGCAGACTGTCAGAAATAGTGCAAATTGAGTCCACTTTAACTGCCCTGACTCAGTGCTAGGGAATCATGGGAACTGTAGTTTATTGTGGCACCAAAGTTCTCTGACAGAGAAGGTTCAATGTCTCAGGAAAAAATACAATTCCCATGATTCCCTAGCACTGAGCCAGGGTAGTTAAAGTGGACTCCATTTGCACTATTTCTGGCAGTCTGCAAAGGCCCTGATTTCCACCCCTCTCATCCTCCTCCTTTGTATCAGCATTTTTCCAAACAGCAGGTCAGCCTTTTCCAGGACCTGCCCTACATTTCCACCTTCTGTCCAGGAGGAATGTCAACATGTCCTCCATTTTGAGCACGACTCAGAAGCAGGAATTTACATTTATATTAGTGTTTTTATTTTTATTTTTTAATGTGCTACAACAATGTCCTTGAACGTGCTGCATTTTGCAGTGCCTTGTCCTCCTTTGCGCTTAGGATATCTGGTCACCCGGCTTTTTTTACGTGGCCAGTTTTTCCGTGAAGAAAGAGTACAGAAGTCACGGACAATGCATCTATAATATTTTCAAAAACAGACATGCTGGGCACAAGGGAGCAAGTACTTACTTAGACATACCGTACTGTACTTTTTGGGGGACAGTGAAAGCTGTAAATTACGCTAGAAGAGAGGCATCTAAAGGTTTATGTCTGTTCTTAAACTTTTAAAACCATCAGCTCCTGTACCAGCAGAAGTCATCCAGGTGCAGCGCTAATTAACAGCACTGGGTAATAGTAACAAGTGGAGATGTTGCCTAGCAAGCAAATGAGGCCTAGAAGGTTTTCTCTTAATTCCTGCCTCCTCCACAACAAAGTCTTCCTCATTCAGGTGCATAGGTGTGGGTGTCTCCAGACCACACAGTTATAGCACTTTGATTCCACTTTAACGGCTTCATCTTACACAACCTCAGGATTTGTGCATTGGGGTGCTTTGACCTCATTTTTGTTGTTTGTGTGCCTTCAAGTCATTTCCCTAAGGCAACCTATCGCAGGGTTTTCTGGGGCTGAGAGTGTGTGACTCACCCAAAGTCACCCAATGGGTTTCCATGACTGAGTGGGGATTCGAACCCTGATCTCCAAAGCCACAGTCCAATGCTCAAACCACTACACCACGCTGGCTGAATTCTTTGTATTCCCCTAAATTGCCATAAGTCGGAAACATCTTAAAGGAACACAACAACACTAGAACTTTCTTGCAGGAAATTCTCAGGACTTCAGCAAACTGCAAATCCCTAGATTCTGTAAGATGGAGCCATGACAGTTAAAGTGGAATCAAAATGTTATAACTGTGAGGTGTGGATGCATTCAGGTTTAATCTGCATTTCAGAAATAATGCAGTTTGACACTGCTTTAACTGCCATGGCTCCATGCTATGGAATTCTAGGGTTTATAGTTCTGTCAAATATTTACCCTTCTCTATCAGAGAGCTCTGGTGCCACAACAAACTACAAACTGCATTATTTCTAAAGTGCAGATTAGACCCGAATAGCTCTCTGTTTGACTTCCCAGCTAAGTAAAATTCTGCTTTGCCAGACCTTCAGTTTGGAGCCAGTTCCTCGGTTATTTGATAAAATTCATAACCATGAAACAATTTTCAGTGCTCTCAAAGCAACTACAGAACTTTGCATTTTACTAAAGGTTGCATCTGGACAGAGGACTGCAAAATCAATCCCACTCCAAATCCTCTGGCCAAATTCCCAACACAGAAGTGCTACTTTTCTTTTGCCTTTCACCAACCCACTCCCTTATGTATTCAACTTGAGTAATGATACTTTGGGGTTTTTTTGTTTTGTTTTGTTTTTGTTAACTTGCTGCCTTGGCACATTGCTGAAGCAACCCTTCAAACAGCTTGAGACATCCAAAGATTTGCTTCAAGCTAACAATAGATATTAACTGAAGCTGTGGGCAGGGAAAGTGCTGGCCTATTTTATTTGCTGTATTTCTTGTACAGGGTATGCAGGGACAGAGTTCGCCAAGAAACCTCTCAAAATGCATCGCCTGCCCTCTCCATTGCCAAAATAAAGAAGTAAAAGAGACATGGAAGAGGAAAATGGGGATCTGTGGCAACAGAACATGCCAGCAATGGCCCATTACAGGGGTGACAATCAGGAGCAGAGCTTGAAAAAATTATTTTTTTCATACTACAAATCCCAACTTCTCTGGAACCTGTATGTACGTGTGTGTGTATATATGATCGTTTGAAGCTCTGATCAAGATGATGGACCACACCATCCCAACCCACTTGTGATTCGAACTGAGGCTTTAGCAGTGCCAGAATTGGTAATTTTACACTATGGACTTGCCTGCCATTATTAGACGGTGGTATATTACTTCATTTGTCAAACACACAACTAATATTATCCTATCAAACTAACAATCAGGCTGTGTGTCCAGAACTGTAGCAAGTTGATACCACATTTCTTATTCTTTTGTTTTGATTTTTGACATGGCTCCCTCCTGTGGGAACCTCGGATCTGTAGTTTGGTGAGATGCTTTCCTCTGAAGTACAGCACTAGAGCTTTCTGACAGAGACTTTCCAAACAACAAACAGTTTATCAGGCTACAAACACTTTATCAAACTACAAACCACAAGATTCCATAGGGGGTCACCATGGTGGTTAAAGTGGTATCAGAGTGCTATAATTGTATAGCGAGGGCACATACAGTGTTTCATGCCTGCATCTAAATTAGAGAAT